AAAAAAAAAAACAAACAAACAAAAAAAAAACAAAATCACACTCTCTGAATGCTAGAAAGCAAGACCCTTGTGGTCAGCAATCTTACTAGTTTTGTTTACCTTTGTACTTCAGCACCTAACACATTGTTTAGCAAAAAGCAGGGATCCATAAGTATTAGTTACATAGGGGGAAGGTAGGCTGACAAAGCAACTTAAGGCCAACTTGAAAAAGATATCCTCCTCCCAACAGGATCTCTCACAAATTTTTTTTTTTTTTTTTTTGAGGAGTCTCGCTCTGTGTCCCAGAGTAGCTCTGGAGTAACTGGTATTACAAGCACCCGCCACCATGCCCAGATAATTTTTTGTATTTTTAGTAGAGATGGGGTTTCACTATGTTGGCCAGACTGGTCTCAAACTTCTGACCTAGTGATCCACCTGCCTTGATCTCCCAAAGTGCTGGGATTACAAGTATGAGCCACCATGCCCGGCCAATCTCTTACAAATTTTTATAGTAAAATAATTCTTGTGTCAAAGAGAAAACAAATATGCAAATGAGAGCCTGTTTAGCAATAAAGCACTCTGTCTTAAAACGTATAGGTTTTCTTTTAGAAAATATACAATCTCAAATGCATTTCTTGGGTAACACAACAGATTAAAAATAAAGGAAACAGAGCATTCCACTGAAGAAGGGAGAAACAGTAGAAAAATGGAAGGGGAAATCATAAAATGAAAACAAAATAATTAACGAGGAACAAGGAAATCAATATGCCTAAGAAACTGAATAACAAATAAATAAGGAAACCTCAAGTCTGACCATGAAAAAATAGAAAACACATATAAAGCATATTAGGAATAATGAAAGGGCGCTGTCGCCTAGGCTGGAGTGCAATGACACAATCACGGCTCACTGCAGCCTCCACCTCCTGGTGTCAAGCAGTCCTCCCATCTCAGCCTCCTGAGTAGCTGGGAGTAACTGGGACACACAACCACACTTGGCTAATTTTTGTATTTTTTGTAAAGATGGGATTTCACCATGTTGCTGAGGCTGGTCTGGAACTCTTGAGATCAAGCAACACCCTGGCCTCAGCCTCCCAGAGTGCTGAGATTTCACAGGTGAGCCGCTACACCCAGCCGAGGCTTTTTAATAACTAGAATAACTCAGCGCATAACTTCATAGTAAATTTAACATTTAAAGGAAATGGATGATTTTCTAAGAAAATATAAGCAAAACAGACTCAAGAAGAAGTAACATCTTGGTTGGTCAGTCTTTTTTTTATCTGTTTATTTTGTTTATCGTGCCATGTAAAATTTCTCCCACCTCCAAATTATGCAAATATTATTCTATAATTCTTCCTTATAATTTACAGGGTTTTTTTTTATTAAGCTCTTCAATTATTTTTGTTGTGAGATTGGAGTCTACCCTTATTTTCTTCCAAACAGATAATACATTTGGTTGATACCATTAATCTCTGCCTGGCACGACCTCCTTATTCCCAGCAACCCAAGAAGCAAGTTGTGTTTGCTGATTCGAAGCGGCTGTGGTGCACAGGTTTGAAGCCATTTACTATCATTAATTGACCAAGAGCTACTACTACCTACAATACTGAAACTATACAAATGGCTTAATTTAAAAATAGGCAAAAGGTTTGAATATGTCATTCACAGAGAAGGAAATGGAAATGACAATGATATATGAAAAAAAACCCTACCTGCCATTTTAAAAATGTAATCGAAACCATCATGAGATGCCTTTTTTCACCTATCATATTGACAATTATTTTAAAGTTTGATTGTTTTTATTAAGATGAAGATGGGAAGAGGACAACCTTTTTTTTTTTTTTTTTTTTTTTGAGACAAAGTTTTGCTCTTGTTGCCCAGGCTGGAGTGCAATGGCCTGATCTCGGCTCACCGAAAACTCTGTCTCCCAGATTCAAGAGATTCTCCTGCCTCAGCCTCCCAAGTAGTTGGGATTACAGGCACCTGCCACCACACCCAGTTAATTTTGTATTTTTAGTAGAGACGGGGGTTTCTCCATGTTGGCCAGGCTGGTCTTGAACTCCTGGCTTCAAGTGATCCACCAGCCTCAGCCTCCCAAAGTGCTGGGATTAGGGTGTGAGCCACCATGCCTGGTCAAAAGGGCAACATTAATTTCTTATTTATTTAGAGATGTAGTCTCTCTCTGTCACCAGGCTGGAGTGCAATGGCACAATCTTGGCTCACTGAAACCTCCACCTCCCAGGTTCAAGCTATTCTCCTGCCTCAGCCTCCCTAGTAGCTGGGATTACAGGCGGCCGCCACCACGACCACCTAATTTCTTTTCTTTCTTTCTTTTTTTTTTTTTTTGAGACCAGTTCTCACACTGTCACCCGGGCAGTTTTCGGCTTGAGACAACCTCCACCTCCTGGGTCGAAGTGATTCTGCTGCCTCAGCCTCTGGAGCAGCTGGTATTACAAGCGCCTGCCGCCACACCTGACTAATTTTTTGTATTTTTAGTAGAGATGTTTTACTATGTTGGCCAGGCTGGTCTCAAACTCCTGACCTAGTGATCTGCCCACCTCAGCCTCCCAAAGTTCTGAAATTACAGGCGGGAGCCACCGTGCCCAGCTAATTTTTGTATTTTTAATAGAGACAGGGTTTCACCATGTTGGCCAGTGTGGTCTTGATCTCTTGACCTTGTGATCCACCCACCTGGGCCTCCCAAAGTGCTAGGTACCAGTGTGAGTCACCTAGACCGGCCCAAAAGGGCAACTTTTAAAGGCTACTGGTTGGGCTGGGCACAGTGGCTCATGCCTGTGATCCCAGCCCTTTAGATGGCTGAGGTGGGAGTACAGCTTGAGCCCAAGAGTTGAAGACCAGCCTGGGCAACAGTGAGACCAAGTCTCTATTAAAATAAAAATAATTAAATAAGTAGATACAACAAATAGTGCGGGCATGGTGGCTCACGCCTGTAATCCTAGCACTTTGGGAGGCCGAGGCTAGGCAGGTAGATTGCCTGAGCTAAGGAATTGGATACTGGCCTGGGCAACACGGTGAAACCCTGTCTCTACTAAAATAGAAAAAATTAATCAGTCATGAGGGTAGGCACCTGTAATCCCAGTTACTCAGGAGGCTGAGGCAGGAGAACTGGTAGAACCGGGAGGTGGAGGTTGCAGTGAGCCGAGATCTTGCGACTGCACTCCAGTCTGGGCGACAGTGGGACTCTGTCGCCAAAAAATAATAAATAAATAAATAAATAAATACAACAAACAAACAAGCACAAATCCTGTCTGTCCCACAGCTGAGAGGGTTTCCAGTTTCAACATTGCCCCTGTTGTCCCTGCTGCCCTAATCACAGACTCCCATCACTGGGGAACCCCAGAATGATCCCAAGTGCTGCCGAGGACGACGTGCTGGGGGCCTGAGGCAAAGTGTCTTATTCTTATCACACTTCTTATCAGTATTATACTGTGCTTTTTTTTTTAGAGATAGGATCTCGCCATCTTGCCCAGGCTGGTCTGGTAACTCCTGAGCTCACGCCAGCCTCCCGCCTCGGCCTCCCGAGTAGCTGGGACCTACTGAGTCACACTCGTGGCCACATCCTTTTCCTTCCTCTTCCTCCAACCCACAGTTTAATCATGAAAGGCTCTTCTGATTGGCCGCCTCCAGGGACTAGTGCCTCTGCTCGGCTGGCCCTCTAGGAGTCGACAGCAAATAAACAATTCCCGACAGCAAATAAACAATTCCCGCTGGGAAGCTGGTCTCAGACAGGAGCATCCACACCCCTGCCACGCCTGCCGCCTGGAGCTGAGTGGGGTAAGCACGCCGGCCTCCAGCAACCGACAGTGCCACGTGGCTCCCCTTCCCTTCTTGCCAGTGCCTCTTCTCCAGTTTCAGGGGATACCGTGGGGTGGGCAAGCCAGGCAGAGCGCAGCGAAGGGCGGGTTGGGATGCAGGTGGGAATGTGCGGTCCTTCTGCGCTCTCATCAGAGCTTCCTTCTCCTTTGCCAAGGTCCCTGTGCCGCCTTCAGCGCACCTCCCTAGGCACCTCTGCCTCCGCCGCAGCGCACCGCTCCCGCAGCCCCAGCAGCCTGCCTGAGAGGAACAGCGGCCTCGGCTGTCCAGCCCCTGCCCGGCACGACCTCCTGATCCCCAGCTACCCAAGAAGCAAGTTGTGTTTGCAGACGCAAAGGGGCTCTCGTTGGCATCCGTGCACTGGTTTGAAGCCGCTGCGGGCAGAGCCTTAAGAGGGCGGGTGTCCCGCTTGCAGCTCCCCACGGCCCGGCCTCCACCTGCTGCAGAGCCGCCCCCATGCCCCAGGCTGCTGCGCCCCAGGGGAGCTAGCTGGTATCCAGGGAGGCCTGCACTATCGGCGGATAGCCTGCAGCCGTGGGCCCTGCAGGGGCTTCCTGCGGGGCACCGTGCACGCAGGCGGGGTCGGGGGCGGTGCAGTTGCGTACCCCCGGGTGCCTGGGTCTCCTTCCAAGAAGACCTGTGTTGGAACACTGGTCTCCGCGGAGGTGAGAAGGTCAGCTTCGCCTTCCAGGTGTTGCCGCTGAGTCCCCTGGCCACGCGGGCCACCATCCGGTCTACTTCTCTTTAGAGAGTGCTCAGTAGCCAGCCTTTCGGGGACAGTAATCAAAGGCAAAACTGCAGCTGGGTACTGGGTTCGCGGTCCTACTCATAAGAATAAAGCCAGGCTATGTGAGGGCGCACAGAAAGCCTGCCTTTTCTGCCTGGGCAAAGCGTGATTTCTTGTCCAGCATGTGCGTGTTTTCTGCGTTGGGGAACTTTGATCAGTCTGTTTTCTTGCACCTGAATTCATAACCGGGAAACCGGACTGATTCAACTCGTAGCCCCTGCAGAAGGCCTCAAACTCCTTGCATTCTTCTCTCATTTCCTGACTACAAGGGAGGAGGTTTTCTTTAGGAAGATTCCTGGAATGGAGTGGGGAAACGGAAGAAATATAAATAAAGCACTTATATGTAATTATTGAAAGGGCTTAGCAGAGAGTGTCTAAGGGCCGGGGGTGATGTGTGCGTGCGCTCGTGTGTTCCTGTGTTTGTGTGTGTGTGTTGCAGAGGTTGGGGGGGCTTCTTTACATTAAAGACGGGAGCGGTGCAGCACAGAACTTTGCTCTTCTACTTTCTCTCCATCTGGGATGGGCCCGTTTCCTGGTAACTTGAAATAGTGCGGCTTCTTCAACTTTTGCCAAAAGGAATGTTCATTAAAGCATCTTCAACAGCTGATATAAAAAACTTCTTCTCCCTCTTCATCATATCAGAATGTGGGGAGACTGTTTCTGTGCATTTCAAAATGTGGAGTACTTTTTAAAACACTTATTTTCAGTAGTTTAGTACACTTGAACTTTTTAATTTTAGATTTTTATTATTATTTTTTCAAGACAGGATGTCACCATGTTGTCCAAGCTGGTCTTGAACTCCTGGGCTCAAGTGGTCCTCCTGCCTGAGGATCACCAGAGTGTTGAGATTACAGGCGCAGCCAACATGCCTGGCTACTACTTGAGTGCAATTTACCAGAACCCAGAAGCCTGACCTTTTTTCCCACGGCCCCCAAGGCTACCCATTGTGTATTGATGGCTGGTATTGAAAGCGGCCACTGAAGTGTTTGCCTCCCCCAGGATGGGAGAGAACGAGGACAAGTCAGCCTTGGACACAGCTGGTCCCAGGCTGGCCACCCCCATGGCGCTCAGAACATGTGGGTTAGAATAACACACGAGGATGTGTGCGAAGTGTGTCTCTAGTTTCAATTTACAGTGTTCTGAGAGTTTTGGACGTTGGAAATCTTTCACCTCTTTTCAGGGACTTCATTCTTGGATTATTATTCATAGACGACAAATTTTAAATAAAAGATTTCTTTTTATACATTTTTATCTCCTCTGAGACTTGATTTCTTGGACTACGCTTTTTTGTGCTAGTGGCAGGTATTGTGCTTGAGCAAGCAACATTCACTTTATTTTTTTCTTTCTCTCTCTTTTTTTATTTTTTTGGAGACAGTCTTTCTCTGCTGCCCAGGCTGGAGTGTAGTGGCACTACCTTGGCTCACTGCAACCTCCACCTCATGGTTTCAAGTGATTATCCTGCTTCAGCCTCTTGTAACTGGGATTACAGGTGCCTGTCACCAAGCCCAGCTAATTTTCGTATTTTTAGTAGAGACAGAGTTTCACCATGTTGGCCAGGCTGGTCATGTGACTCCTGACCTCAAATGATTACCACCTGCCTTGGCTTCCCAAATTGCTGGGATTACAGGCGTGAGCCACTATACCTGGCCATTTTATTTTTTCCCCTAAAGGACCTGCCCCCTTTGTCTCTCAAACAAAACAGCCAGGGTGCCCTGCCAGGTGGTTAACAGGGTAAAGACAGAAGCAGCCAAACACAGCGGCTTACAGGAACAGTGTGGACACTTTTGCAGCTTCCTCATCTGATAAGGGGAGTTATTGCAATCACTGCTGTTTCCCCCTTGCCTTCTAGAAGGCCTGACTCCTTTAAGGGTTGATCATGAATGAGGCAGATGGACTTACAGAACATACTGTCAAAGTTGGAGGTTGCTTTCAAATTCAAGATAGTAAAAATCAACAGAAAAGATGAGTAGCCAGCTGTAGAAGTGACAGGCTCCGAAGATGTATGGTAATGTATTTCTAATGACATTAGAGTTTGCAAAATCCATCTCATCATCACGGCCTAGCACTGGGGAAGTGCTGGGAGACCACGTGGGCCAGGCGTCACATTTAGAGAGGGCCTGGGATCTAGACTTTTGATATTAAATCCAGATAAAGTTACACATGCAACTACAGAGAAAACTAACCGCATTGAAAAAAGATGCTGCTCAGCCGGGCACGGTGGCTCCTGCAGGTAATCCCAGCACTTTGGGAGGCAGAGGTTGGTGGATCAACTGAGTTCAGGAGTTCAAGGCCAGCCTGGCCAACATGGTAAAACCCTGTCTCCACAAAAATACAAAAATTAGCCAGGCATGATGGCGGATGCCTTTAATCCCAGCTACTTGGGAGGTTGGGGTGGCAGAATCACTTGAACCCAGGAAGTGGAGGTTGCAGGGAGCTGAGATTGTGCCACTGCACTTTAGCCTGGGCGACAAAGTGAGACTCTGTCTCAAAAAAAAAAAAAAAAAAAGAAAAAAGATGCTGCTCATCATTCACCTCCAAATTTCACATTTGCATCTCATAGCCAGATATGCATCTCATGTTGCCTGCTTTGCACTTTGAAATAATATTTGACATTTTAATAAAATTTTATCTTGTAAGTAGCACAATTGCCTATACTTCTTCTTTTTCTGTTAAAGTTGTCAATTTTGGAAATATGCACATGTACCATATGTCACAGTTGTAATTCTGTAATTCTTTTTTTTCTTTTGAGATGGAATCTTGCTTTGTCACCAGGCTGGAATGCAGTGGCACAATCTTGGCTCACTGCAACCTCTGCCTCCTGGGTTCAAGCAATTCTCCTGCCTCAGCCTCCCAAGTAGCTGTGACCACAGGTGCGTACCACCACACCCAGCTAATTTTTGTATTTTTAGTAGAGACAGGGTTTCACCATGTTGGCCAGGATGGCCTTGATCTCTTGACCCCGTGATCCACCCATCTCGGCCTCCCAAAGTGCTGGGAATTACAGGTGTGAGCAACCACACCCTGCCT